GACCTTGAACATCCAATGTAATTCTATAAGAAAATGACTGACGGTACTGGGAAACTATGGGGGGGAGGGAGGGAGATGGGATTAATAAGCAAATATCTGTCTGGAGATGGGGAAGCACCTCTAATCAATAAGGTACCTGAATGAACGTATTTGTATACCTAACCCTTAACTGTACCCCACAACATCATAATAAAAAAATATTGATTATTGAAAAAAAAAAAAGTCACAATGGCCCTATACTTTATTTCTCTTGAGCCTATTCTAGTGACCCTTTGGTCTCTAACTACTCTGTATGATGAGGGGTGCATATAATCTGCTTTCCAAGATAATTCTAGTGGCTGCTCATGGCAAAGCAGTGGAAAAGCCACAGCAGGGAGGTGATGTCTGTGCCTGGGGAAAAGGAAGAGTGGAGTTCAAGTGAATTTCGTGTCTTTGGAGTCTATTTTGGAGATCCAGTCAGTGGGACTAGCTGCTAAATGTGCTGGGAGTCAGGAAGGAAAGGAGAAAGTCAAAGGCAGTTCCTACATTCTTATCTTTATTGATGTGATGGAAATGGTCAGGAGGGAAGCAGGTTGGGAACTAAGCATCAATGTTTCTGTTTTGAAAATTCAGTTTTGAGAGATGCCTGTCTTAGGTGTTCTTGTTGGAGAGAGTAGACAGGAGTGTAGTGCAGTAGAGAGGGGCTATTTGGAATTTGCTGGCATGGGATGGTTTTAAGGTTAGGGGTCTGATGAGATCACCTGAAGAGACTACAGAGTTGATCCCTCCCCAAGGCTGCCACCCTGGGACCACTTTTCCTTTCCAGGCTTATCTTCATCTCTTTGCCTATCAGCATCCCATATGGGAAATGACTTGAAGGACCCAAAATCCACAGGCTCTCTCTACCTCTTTGCCATGGAACAATGGCAGTTCTAGCCCTGACCTACCAGGACATAGGGGCTCACAGAGTCGAACCCATCTCACTCTCTGCTCTCAGCTTGGCAGTTAAAACGTGTTCCCACCCCATGGGACATCTCCAGCTCTTAAGGCTCAACTCCCAAGGCAGCTCTTCTAGGCAGCCTTGTCCATCTCCCCACCAGCAGAATCACTGTCAGAATTTACCCAGCGGTGCTGTCATGAGGACACTCATACTGTCATCCACACACGCATAGCCTGCTCCTTGGGTATCCATTGCTTCTATCCCCCCTCACAACAGGCAGGTGAGAGATACATTGAAAAATCTCCCCCTAGGAAAGAAGGTTGGTGAAAACCTTCAGTCATTATACTTGAAAAAAAAAAAAAAAAGGGAAAAGAAAGATCACAGCTAGGGCTGCCCAGGTCAGTCAGAAATGCACTTGTGACTTTTGTAATAAATGTCTTCTTATTCAATTATAGAACAGCTACGGATGTAGATTAAATCAAATAAGAATCTCTGGTCAAGATGCCTTTGTGAGGTTATACAAATGTATTTCCCTGACCTCTCTTAGGCAGGACTGGGGCCCCTGTGATTTTTATAAACATACCACTGTACTTTAAGGTTTTTCAGCATTTTTATACTGAAACCCCTGGGGCCTCAGTTGGAAACACTTTTTAAACCTGCCAAGCTGAGAGCAAAGAGTGAGACGGGTTAGACTCTGTGAGCCCCTATGTCCTGGTAGGTCAGGGCCAGAACTGCCATTAGTCACGTCAGGTTGGCTTATGAACAGACAAGCTTTTTCCTCTAAGTGATTCGTCTGCTGTAGCATAAACACTGACGCTCTGGAAGAGCATGGATTCACTCTCACATACTTACTAACAAGCAGCTTTGCTTGCTGGAGCTGCAATCTGCCCCTGCACTGGAAGCAATTTGAATCTGGTCTTAAAACGAAGGAGGAGGGGCCGAAAGTAAAGATTCAACTCCCCTGGTTCCTGAACTGCTTTAAAATTAAAGACAGGCCGGGTGCGGTGGCTCAAACCTGTAATCTCAGCACTTTGGGAGGCCGAGGTGAGAGGATTGCCTAAACTCAGGAGTTTGAGTCCAGCCTGGGTAACTTGGTGAGACCTCATCTCTACAATAAATCAAAAAATAAACTGGGCATGGTAGAATGTGCCTGTAATTCCAGCTACTCAGAAGGCTAAGTTAGAAGGATTGCCTGAGCCCAGCAGGTCGATGCTGGGGTGGCGGTGAGCGAGTTACTGCACTCCAGCGTAGATGACAGAGTGAGACTCTGTCTCAAAAAAAAAAAAAAAAAAAAAAAAAGACAAAATGAGCTCTTTATATCTTAAAGTCGAATAAATTATTACATAGGATTATTGACCATGCCAAAATCCATAACTTACTTAAAGACTTTTAGGTCCTTTATTTTGACTCTTTA